CACTTATTCAAAGACTTACTAACTCACTCGCTTGCTAATTCATCCACTCAGCTACTCACTCACACGCTCTCTCTCTCTCTCTCTCTCTCTCTCTCTCTCTCTCTCTCTCCTCTCTCTCTCTCTCTCTCTCTCTCTCTCTCTCTCTCTCTCTCTCTCTCTCTCTCTCTCTCTCTCTCTCTCTCTCTCTCTCTCTCTCTCCTCTCTCTCTCTCTCTCTCTCTCTCTCTCTCTCTCTCTCTCTCTCTCTCTCTCTCTCTCTCTCTCTCTCTTCTTCTCCCCCCCCCCCCCCATGTGTGTGTGTGTTAGCTTCCATGATATATGATGTAATTGCATAAAATGCAGATACTTTCCTGTCACGACAAGGTCCAACATAGTAACATTTATGAACCGTTCACCCTCCCCTCCCCCCCCCCCTCAAAAAAAACCTACCAAGAGTGTTTACATTTATTCCTAATCAGCATCAAATATTTAACGAACACTCGAAAATGTGCAAGAATCAAGGAGGCTGTATAACCATATCTCACTTAGTTAATCGTATTTTATCAGAGATTGTGACGTGGTAGGGATGCCATTACCACGCAGGTTGTAATTGATTTACAAGGGAACGACTTAAGTGGTTAGGGAAGAGGGGATAGAGTGTGCATAGTAATTATTACGTTAATGTACACGAACCCTTCGTTTAATGTCTGTTCCCCCTAATTATTATTTTTTTTACGACGTTGAACCAGCAAAGCAAAACAAAGTCGCCAAGAGAAAGAAAAGGAAAAAAAAATCCATCATCGCGTGAAATCAACCAAAAAAAAACTGAAACAAAAACTAAATAAAACTAAACGAAAACCATGAGATAAACAACAAGAAATGATGAAAATGAGTAATTATGTTTACCTCCTCATTTTACAGCCTGCATTTTATAAGACTAGATAACGTGAAAACATTCATTTAAATAAACAAACCAGTGCAGTTGAGCAAATAATAGAGATTACATTCACGGTGGCTCTAATTATGCTTGTCAAGGCCAGCATTTCCGCGGAACATGAGAGATGTCAAATGTTCCTGCGCCTAAAACGGGCGAAGGAAATGTTAACGAGAGGAAGAAAAATAAAAAAGGGGGAAAGGAAAACCAGAGAGAGGAAAAGGGGAAGAGGGGGAAGAGTAATACAGGAAGTCAGAAAAAGAGTAAGAGATAGATAGAAAGAGAGACACACACACAGAGGGGGAGAGAGAGAGAGAGAAAGAGAGAGAGATAGAAAGTAAGACACACACACACAGATGGAAAGGTAAGGAAAGAAATAATTATATAAAAAGGTACTCTGAGTTGCAGTATGTTGCATATAGAGACCAACGGTACGGTAGACTGTACTTTTATTATCTTGTATTGGATGGAGGGTAACACTGATGCGTGCGTTTGTGTCCGATATGTATGTGTGTGTACATATGTACATATATATATAAGTGTGTGTATGTGGGTGTGTATGTGTATGTATGTAGGAATGTATTTATTCATGTATGTATACACGTACGTATGTATGTATATAACTAAGTGTAAGTGTTTATAAACGTAAACCTCAATGGAATCTCGTGAAGGCAGGCCATCAAACTCGGCATAACAAGTCCGAAACAAGAATCAGTGAACCTAACAAGCATTAACAACAGCTGATCGGCGTAAACCTCTCATTTCTCCGATTAAATCCTCCTTCTTCCTGTGAACGCTGCATTTGGCTAGCGTGGCCGTTACTTAAGGCAGCGTGCCGTGGTGTGCTTGTGTCATTATCGCTAACCACTTTTATTGGCATGCGTTGTCTATTATCTAAGTTTGCATGTAAAATTTACTTTACTTCCCCTCTCTGTTTTTTCTCGTTTCCGTATAACATTTCCCTTTCTTATTCTTCATTCCCTTTTTTTTCTTTGATTTTATTTATTGATGTCTTACTACCCTGCCCCCCCCCCCCACACCTTTCCTATTCCTCTCTCTTATCTACAATATTATGCTCTATGATATCATATCTGCCGGTATAATTCAATTTCGTCTTCGTATGATTGCATCATAACGTTGCAGTCTTGTAGAATCATAGCCTCATATCCCTATACCCTCATACACTCATATCCTCCTACCTCTATACCCCCATATCCCTATTCCCTCATACTCTCAAGGCCACATAGCCTCATACCCACATAGCTATCCTGCTACGAAACAGCTCCTAACTATGAGGCATTTAGCGTGATTAAGGAAGCTTCCTGTGTGCCTGTTGGAGGAGAGAGAGAGAGCGAAAATTAGCTCAAACTACCGAGATGGGAGGGAGAGGGGGGAGGGGGGAAGGAGAGGGGGAGGGGGGAAGGAGAGGGAGAGGGTGGGTTGGTCCTTCGATCGGTGTACACGTTGTTGTTTTGGTTGTTTGTTGTTGTATCGCTATTTCACTTACTAGCAATTTCACCCACTCATCTACTCTTTCAGTAATAGAATGACTCAATCACTCTCTCCTTTACTAACCAATTATTTATTTCAAGCAGGCAACAACTAACCGTTTCACTTATTCAAAGACTTATTAACTCACTCGCTTGCTAATTCATCCACTCAGCTACTCACTCACACGCTCTCTCTCTCTCTCTCTCTCTCTCTCTCTCTCTCTCTCTCTCTCTCTCTCTCTCTCTCTCTCTCTCTCTCTCTCTCTCTCTCTTTTACTCTCTCTTTTACTCTCTCTCTCTCTCTCTCTCTCTCTCTCTCTCTCTCTCTCTCTCTCTCTCTCTCTCTCTCTCTCTCTCTCTCTCTCTCTCTCTCTCTCTCGCTCTCACTCACTCACTCACTCTCACCCACTCTCTCACTCACCCAGGCTTAGCACGTGTCTGCTTAGCGTCCAGGA